GAGTGGAATCACTGGGTCAAACGGCAGCTCCATTTTTAATTTTTTGAGGAACCTCCATACTATTTTCCATAGTGGCTGCACCAGTCTGCATTCCCACCAGCAGTGTACTAGGGTTCCCCTGTCTCCACACCCTCGCCAGCACATGTTGTTTGTTGATTTGTTGATGGCAGCCATTCTGACAGGTATGAAGTGATACCTCATTGTGGTTTTAATTTGCATCTCTCTGATGATTAGCGAGGTGGAGCATTTTCTCATGTGTCTCTTGGCCAACCGTATGTCCTCTTTGGAGAAGTGTCTATTTAAGTCCTTTGCCCATTTCTTAATTGGGTTGTTTGTCTTGCTCTTGCTGAGTGCTATGATTTCTTTGTACACTTTGGAAATTAGCCCCTTATCAGATTCATCCTTGGCAAATATGTTTTCCCAGACTGTGGGGGCCACGATTCATTCTTATTTCCATCCCTTCACACTCTCATGCCCTCCTGTAGGTAACTGCTTTTATTAGTTTTCTGTGTAACCTTGTAGTATTACAATATGGAAAGACATATTCCTATGCTTCCTCTTACTAAATATATCTCTTTACAGTTTGCTTTATTTAAGAAAATATCTTGGAGCTCCTCCATGGGTTTGGTTTTTTGTTTTTGTTTTTTAAAGGAAAGCAGTACTTGTGGAACTCTAGTATTTACTAAAATAATTTTAATTTAATGTTACTTAAATGTGTAAAAATACAGAAGTGATGTAAATTCCATGCCAATAAACCACAATACAAACCAATAGAATTAAATTAATGTTAATATGACACAACCTTTTTGTTGAAGTTAATTAGACACAGCATGACTTAGGTAGTGACTGCTGAGGCACAGTTCCTGATGAATTTAGCATGCCTGTATTATACCTGTGCCCTGTGCTGATTCTCCCACTGTTTTTCTGTAATCCAACCCAGTCCTTCCTTTGTTCAACTTTTTCTTTATTCCATGTCACTACCATCTTTCCATATGAGTTGTACCATCATTCTATATGATTTACTTATTTATTGTGTTTATTGTGCATACCCCTAACTAGAATATAACTTCTTTATGAAATGTGGGTGTTTATTTGATTCACCAATATTTATCCTAAGCACTCAGAACTCATCCTGGCACATAATGGATACTCAAATATTTGATGAATGAATGAACAAAGGAATTCTTAAGTACATTAAAGTCTGAGAACTATTGGTAGAGGATGGTGAGGAAGTAGACAATCATAAAAGCAGGCAATAAGGTGCTGAGATGGTGGTGAGAGGAGAGGAAGGCCCAGTAAGATAAACTCTGGCTTAGAGGGAAGGGAGACCACCATGATGGCTGGTGGTAGAGTGGTTGGAAGAGGGAGAAGGTGACCGACCTTTGGTCTACGGTGTTCTGCAGATCCTGGGGATGAGGCTAAGAGACAGTTGATGATGACCATAGGTAGGCCATCAAGGGCCTCCATGGCAGCCCATTAGCTTTGGGGGCACTTTTCTCCTGGAGGCAATCAGAGGGATATACAAAACTAGGTATTTTTCCATGCTCTCCTTTCCTACCTTAAAATAACTTTATTTTCTGGACTTAAGTGAAGGCATAGTCTTATTTCAGGGATAACTTAAGAACCACTGCACTCAGATTTCCGAAATTAATCCAATTAGAAGTTTTTAATTAATACAATTAGAAATTTTATAATGTTGGTGCCTGAAAGAGGAAGGAGAACTATTTACACAAGGATAATAATCAAAAATATACATAGTGTATTAAAACCTTGTTTTTAGAAAGCACCTGAAAGGAAAGTTGGGTGGTTTTTCAAGATGGGGCAGAGTAAGCTGTGGTATACTTTTACTGAGGTCTGACAGTCTTGGTTGAACTATAGCTTAACCTGGAATATTTGGGTGGCAGAGTTTTGCTATTAGAATAATTTGATTAGGCCCAGCCTTTCAACTGAAATGTTGGTGTGGCAGGACCATTACAAACTTCTCTTCAGGTGTGCTAATGCAGTCAGGGGCCTGGGGGGTAGGAGACGGGAAGGCTGATTATATGGGGCATTTTAAGTTCCAGGTAACAAGTACTAAACACAGCATAGTTTAATAACATTATTTATTGGGAAGATAGTCTTTTGTAAATATATCCTGTGCCTAGCCTGACGGTAACTTCTTGAATGAGTTAAAACTTTGAAGAAAAAATGTTTAGGTGGTGTTTTGTTGGGGAGGGCAGAGTTTAAATGTATATAGTTTTGCAAATTTCTAGCGCTTTCACTCAGGCTGTCTTGGGATTCTTCTAGAAACTTTTTAGGTTGGTAATGCCATCTGGTCTCATTGTGCCATCTTTTCTAGCATTTTCTTCCTTGAAGTTCACTGATTGATGGAATGGGTCTGGAAGTAATTTAAAAGATTCTTTATTCTGATTCTTCCATCGTTACACAAATCCAAAAAGGTCAGGTCTAGAGTTCTAACAGCCAAACATTCTGCCATCTGGACTGGTATCTCCTAGGCTAATGCCGTTAGACTGCAGAGGTAGTGACCTGATTCATCTCTCTCTCTTCTTCCCTCCTTCCTTTCATTCCTTTCTTTTCTTAGTTTTTATCACTCTATCTTCCTTTCTTATTTCTAGGCCATGTAAGTCAGCTAGGGAAGGGTTAGTGAGATTAAAGTGTGAACACAATCCTCAGGACTTGAGGAAGAATATCCTTTGACCTTGAGAAATGCTAATTATGCTCTTTTTCCTAGGACGCTCACAATTGTATTCCTGAGCTGGACAGTGAGACAGCCATGTTTTCTGTCTACGATGGACATGGAGGTAACTTTAACAGATCATGTTGGTAACATTCTGACACTCTAATTCCAGACTTTATAGGGCAAGAACAAGTCCTTTGTTCTTTTACTTTCCAAAGTTCTGGTCCTCAGCTACCATTTTCTGCCTGGTGCTCTTTTTCTCTAGTCTGCCAGTCTTTTTTCCTAATAGGATATTGTATTGGTTCATCATCTCAATCTCACCAGGCGTTGTTTTAATCCAAAGAAGCCTCTTCCTACATTAGCTCCCCCCCGCACCACAGAAAACTAAGTATGCAAGTGAAAAAGGGATATATTAATACAACCCCAAGAGAGGTGATAGTGAAGTCCATTTTCTGAGTCAGAACTTCTCAAAGACTGTCTTTCAAACAGTTTTGAGTTGTGTGCGGTATTCATCTCCTCAACCCTTGGGGTTTACTCCAGTATAGCAGATAGATATTGTATTACTTTCTGTGTGTGGGAAGCAGTGCTCTGGGTGACCTTACTTTTCTTCTAGGGGAGGAAGTTGCCTTGTATTGTGCCAAATATCTTCCTGATATCATCAAAGATCAGAAGGCCTACAAAGAAGGCAAGCTACAGAAGGTCTGTCTTCCCACAATGTTCATTCTTCCCTTCTCTGTAGGCTTTCCCGTTTTCCAATCCTTGGCTTTTCCTTTCTCATTGCCACCCTACTTCTTCTTAAAGAATCCTTTGCCTAAAATGAGTTCATTCCCACTTGGGCCTTTTTAGAGCTGCCTTATCATTCCCAGCTCTCTGAACTATATACGAGTGTCTCCTAGTGTGGTGGATCACACTCTAATTTGCACCCCATCCTTTTGACCAGGGTTCTGTAGAGGCAGTTTATTTTATACCTGCTGTACTTTTTCCTACACTTGCCTCATACTGTTTTGCTTATATTCAGGCTTTGGAAGATGCCTTCTTGGCTATTGATGCCAAACTGACCACTGAGGAAGTCATCAAGGAGCTGGCACAGATTGCAGGGCGACCCACTGAGGATGAAGATGAAAAAGAAAAAGTAGCTGATGAAGATGATGGTGAGTGTGGCATTTCTTGTTTGAGAGGAAATCAGTACTTTAAAGTACTATTATTTAGTATATATTATTTCTGTATCAATTCTAAGGGAGGATGACTTCCTAGGGACCTGGAGAGTCCTCAAAGAAATCTTTGTTCTCCTGTATTACATGTGATTATGAAAAGGAGAAATAGAATTAACCTTTGTCGAGGGCCTAGTGTTGCAATTGTAAGCATTTTTATATGCATTATCTTTTGTCATTGTGATGGGGTCTTTCTGGTTACTGTTAATGTTTATGTGACTTTTTTTTCAAGACCGGAGCTGTCATTAGCCCAGCAGCCAGTTATGAAACCTAGGCCATAGGCCTAGACTGGCACTGTGGGCTTCCTGGGTCCTCGGTCAGAATGCGGTTTCCAACTTACTAATAAAAATGAGAGGTGATAAGGAAAATATAGTACCTAGTGTTCCTTTGAAAGGGGGTGAAAGACAAAGACCAAAGGAAGTCTATGGAGGCAGATGTTACTTGAGAAGGAAGCAAAAGGGTGTTTTTCAGAGACTTGATAAATGAGAGGACCCTTAGGAGTAGAAGTGGTGGGGAAATTGGAGGAACTCAGGCTGCAAGGGCAATGGATATAGTGAGAGGAACTAATCCCATGAGGAGTCTGGCATCAGGGCGCTGATTTAGCCTCTTACCTGCAGTGGACAATGAGGAGGCTGCACTGCTGCATGAAGAGGCTACCATGACTATTGAAGAGCTGCTGACACGCTACGGGCAGAACTGTCACAAGGGTGCTCCCCACAACAAATCTGGAACTGGGACAGGCGAGGAACCAGGGTCCCAGGGCCTCAATGGGGAGGCAGGATCTGAGGACCCATCTAGGGAATCTTCTTCAGAGGAAAATGGCCCCACAGCCAAGGCCCACACAGGCCTTTCCTCCAACTCGGAACGTACAGAGGCAGGCCAAGGTGGTGAGCCTGGCGCTCCCACTGGTGAGGCTGGGCCTTCCTGCTCTTCAGCCTCTGACAAGCTGCCTCGAGTTGCTAAGTCCAAGTTCTTTGAGGACAGTGAGGATGAGTCAGATGAGGCGGAGGAGGAAGAGGAAGACAGCGAGGTAAGGGCCTGTAGGGACTGACAGATGCTGAAGCTGCAGAGAGGGCCTGTTTGGTTGCCACCCGTAGCTGTTTGAGTCTTTTCCTCCTATTTTGACATCAGCCCCCAAGACCCACTATATTTTAAGCTCTTGAATTCATTATCTCCACCAACACAGGTACCATTAGGCCTCTTATCTCTTCCTTTGTTGATACACTAACAAAAAGATCTAGTTCTGGCCTTTTAGAGTCTATCTCCTTGAGGGAATAGAAAGATGGTGGTTGTTGCTTTGGCTATTTGGGTATTTCCTTTTCTGGGCAACCTATTTTCTGGTCATGTTGCCTAGAAGGTGTTTTTTGTCTGACTGCCTTGGCCTTCCCCAGGGCTTCTTGCTAGGGACTGTTGAGCCCAGATCAGGATATGAGTTATACCCATGCTAGCCCTCTCCCTTCCCCCCTAATTCTCACCGTGATCATATAGTTGCATTTGTGTTCAGCAGGGCCTCTTTGTTTTGAGTAGGAGTTCGGGGAGTGGGTAGGAAGTTATCCCCATCTCAGTGGCCTGGGGTCATCCCTCCGGCAGGAATGCAGTGAGGAAGAGGATGGCTACAGCAGTGAAGAAGCAGAGAATGAGGAAGATGAGGATGACACCGAGGAGGCTGAAGAAGACGAGGAAGAAGAGGAGGAGATGATGGTCCCTGGGATGGAAGGCAAAGAGGAGGTCTGTGGGGAAGGGGAACAGTGAGTTTAGAAAAACCAAGAGGCAGGTGTGAATCTTCTGATTTTGATTTTGGGAGAGGGGGTCCCCTTGCTATCTTAGTACTGAAGTCATGGACATGGGATTTTTTTTTCTGCAAGGGGAACTAGGTCATCTGGGTAGAATTGTTTCAGAAAAGGGGGGGAGCATGCCATATTCTTGGAAAGAGTAAATCTGTGCTCCTTCTGTTTGTTAGAGCTCTCTTGGTGGTCCTAGTGAGAGGAGAAAGCATAGAGGAATGGTCAGGGGAGACTGATGAGAAGCTTGTGTCCAGAAGCTCCCATGATGCTTTCTTTCTTCCTCTTAAGCCTGGCTCTGACAGTGGTACAACAGCAGTAGTGGCTCTGATACGAGGGAAGCAGTTGATTGTAGCCAATGCAGGAGACTCTCGCTGTGTCGTGTCTGAGGCTGGCAAAGCTTTAGACATGTCCTATGACCACAAGCCAGAGGATGAAGTGGAGCTAGCACGCATCAAGAATGCTGGTGGCAAGGTCACCATGGATGGTCGAGTCAATGGGGGCCTCAACCTCTCCAGAGCCATTGGTAAGAACTAGGGAACTATGGGAAAGCTTTTGGGGTCTTGTTCTGTTTTATACTATGTAGTAGCAAGTTTTAATCTTCATAGCCCTTGTACCTTTCCAAATATTTTTGTACCTACCACCTATATCCTTAAATTTCTCTATGAGATAGGTAATATGGGTAGCACTTCTGGGTGATGAAAAAGACAGGTTAGTGATTTCCTAAGGTTCAACAACCTAAAGCCAGGGCTGTAACTAGAAAAACTAGAAATCAGTTCTCTTGTCCACTATATTATGGAGAGAAGGGAAATGAATGACAAGGCTTCAGACACAAGTCTGTGGGAAGTGCCCAAACTATTTGCTAACTAACTATTCCTTTACTTCAGGAGACCACTTCTACAAGAGAAACAAGAACTTGCCACCTGAGGAACAGATGATTTCAGCCCTTCCTGACATCAAAGTGCTGACTCTCACTGACGACCACGAATTCATGGTCATTGCCTGTGATGGCATCTGGTGAGCACTAGCAGAATGCCTTAAAATTCCCTTTTTTCCTGCAGCATTACTTCTCATGTAGGGCTCTGAGCTGCTTTGGCTTTATTATCCCTTGAATGGCTGCATTCAACACCTTTTCTCAAGCTGCTCTAGGATTAGAGCTTAGGCAGACAGCTTGGTGTCAAGACCCCCAAGCCCAAGGCAGAGCTCAGGACAATCTCTGTGTTTACGTTGGCCCAGGCTGTCACCTCTCTCCATACTCCTCTACTCTGCTTTGGTGGGACTAAAGAAGATTCTGACTATTGTTTCTGATCCCAGGAATGTGATGAGCAGCCAGGAAGTTATAGACTTTATTCAGTCAAAGATTAGCCAGCGTGATGAAAATGGGGAGCTTCGGTTATTGTCGTCCATCGTGGAAGAGGTGAGTCCCAGGCTGCAGGAGAGTGTCTGGTCAGCATAGCCAAGGTTTTCTCTAAGATTGGAGCATGGGAGTATCATTCATTAGTGATAGATGCCAAACCCTAGAAAGTTCCACCTTCCCTCATTTCCCTGACTCTTACGCCTTCGTTGACTATCAAATCGGCTGTTTTGTAATACCTGTTGCCCATTTCTCTCCTTCTGCCACCTTGTCTGGCAGGACCAGCCCTCTAGTGGGACTTTAGGCTCCCAGGAAGGTGTTCAAACCCTAAAACTGTGATACCCCATCCATTTTGTAGCTGCTGGATCAGTGCCTGGCACCAGACACGTCTGGGGATGGTACAGGCTGTGACAACATGACCTGCATCATCATTTGCTTCAAGCCCCGAAACACAGCAGAGCTTCAGCCAGAGAGTGGCAAGCGGAAACTGGATGAGGTGCTTTCTACTGAGGGAGCTGAAGAAAATGGCAACAGTGACAACAACAAGAAGGCCAAGCGGGACTAGTGGATTTGTTTGTCCAGACTTCTGCCCCCCTAGACTGTTTTCTGAGCCCTCTGGACCTGAGACTGAGTTTTGTCTTTTTCCTTTAGCCTTAGCAGTGGTTGTGAGGTGTGCAGGGGGAACTGGGTGGCTTTACTCAGCCCATTCCAAAGAGGGCTCTCCCTCCACACAGCAGCCCAGGAGCCTCTGCTGTTCTCCCCAGCCTCCTCTTGGCTCCTTGGGGCTCATCACTGGTTCTGTGCCTGTGCTCTGTTGTGTTGGAGGGAAGGACTGGAGGTTCTGGTTTTTATTCTGTGAACTTTATTTAAGGACATTCTTTTTTATTGGCGGCTCTATGGCCCCAGCCGCTTGCACCCGCTCTCTGTTGTACACTTTCAATCAAACACTTTTTCAGACTAAAGGCCAAAACCTAATCGCGCCCATGGTGTCCTTTTTTTCTTTGCTGCTGTCCTGTACGGGCCACCCGGGTTGCCAGGGCGCTTCAGACTTCCCCCATCAGTAGCATCTACCTAGCCATTGTGCGTGCGTGTGTGTCTGTGTGTGTGTCTCCTGTGTCTCCCACGCGAGCCTGTGTGCCGGGTAGAGGGGGCCCAGATACTTTACTCCCTGAGTTGCTGGCAGGCTGGCCTTACGTCGCGTCTCACCCTCACCCCCTTCTACATTGAAGAATAATTTAGTCGTTCCTTCAGGGAGGGGTCCTGACAGGCCAGGAGGCCCTTAAGATGAAACCGGGGGCTGGGCTTAAGCCCTTGCCAGCCGTTTTCTATTTGATCTCTGATTGGCTTTCCCACTTCATTCGTCACAATCACTTCCTGGTCACGCTGTGAAGGCCTTACTGCCTCTCTTTTCCGTGGACTACGCGTTCCGTGAGGCTCTGCGGTAGCGGAAGCGGAAGCGAGTACGGAGGTACCAGCTGGTCTCCGTAGGGGGGGGGTAGGGGGCTCCATGAATGGACGCGGCGGCGGCGGCGGGAGCGGCCTGAGCTGGGCGCCGGGGCC